TAGCCTGTATAGAAGTAGTGCAAATAAACATAATGTTGTTAAATTCACTGAGGATATTACCCTTAGCAAAGCTTTAATGAAGAGGGGGAAAAATACATGCTCAAATCCAAATGGAGTTAGGTATCCATTTAATGTTGAGTTAGAGTCATCATGACTCTTCGGGCCAAACCTATGTCTCCTCAAACCGCGCCAGAACTTCAGCCGCTCTATCACTGTCGCATTAAATGCAAAGGTGACTCATTCAACCGGCTGCCAACACGTGTAAAGTGCATTCTAATCAGCCGACTACACCGACCACGTCAAATTACCAATGTGTCCCTGCCAACCTCCTCTATAAATAGTGGGCAATCTCCTCCATTCGAAGGTATGCAAAAAACTGTTAATTACTCCTTGAAACTAGATTTTGCAAATTTGCTTAATGAACGTCAGAGGGCAATGCCGGAGCACCAAACTCCGGCCCTTTAACGGGTGTTCCCTGTGTAGAAATTTATTTCATCGTGACTGATCATCTATCAAGGAAGATCAAGGGACCCTAAACTCCTCCAAATATCCACTAACCCACATAATCAATTGACATAAACAGTAGCGTACCACTCTCCAATTCACATCCCAAGAATCGGAATGAACCGCATTCTATACAACTATATACCAACGTGAGGAAGTTAATTACGACATTGCATAGTGTATGCTTTGTGAAAAGAGTTAATGATTACATATCCTTAGGCTTAAGTAAGTTGGTATACTCTTTATAAGCGTTACACGATGCCATCTTCAAGTGAGGCCTGCATAAAACTGAGGTAAACATTGCTTTATGGGGATGATTGGCGGAAAACGAGGGTCAAGTTAGAAAACGTTGGTGAAGCTCATCTGCATGGTGTCCTAATGAACATGCTATCCCTATGGAGTTACTACTTTGAGGCTTGAATTTATGTTTAAGCTAGATAAACATGGGAGTATGTAAGTACTAGTTTTTTTTAAAAAAAAGTACACGTTACGGCAGCCATTCTATCATTTATGATGATCATGGTGATGACAATCAACAATATCCATTTCTTTTACCAACCACGCTACCACCCATGCTAAATACAACTTCTACATATCGTGAACATTCAAAGAGAACCAAACATGAAGTAAATAAGAGAAAAATTCAACAGGGAATAACCTTCCACTTCATTCAGTTAAACGACGCCATCCATCAATTATAAATATTGAAAGGGAGGAAAGTAGCATAACCTTTGAAATACTCCAATTCAACAAAAACCCATCTCAAATTCAGATACCAAACCCAATTTAAAGAGATAAATTAGAAACTTTAGAACCTTCGCGGCTTCGAAGATTTCCTCAGACTTGGTGAGGGATAAAGAACCCTTCTTTTCTTCAACAGAGATTGCATTCTTCACTACAAAACTGGATGCTCGGCGATTCGAAGCAGAGGGCTTGTTGGATACTGGAAGAAGACAGACATTTGGACTCAGCCTAAGACCTGCCATTATTCTCTCCCTCAGAAAAATTAAATAAAAATTCAGGACGAAGGAGGCGATAAGAAGAGGAGATGATGGTCAAATAATGGGGTAGGTGAGGAGCGAAAATGGCTTGGGTTATTTAGATCCTAGTACCAAACAATCTTGAAATTAGTCACAAGTACCCCAAATCCTATGAGTCTTGCAACTTGGTCCCTCAATGACCAAAATACTCCTTCAGTTTATATTTTGCCCCCAAAATCCCCGCCGTCTGAGAAAACATTAGATGTGGGGCATTTTTATTATGGGCGCTTCTACAAGGACCCCAAATAGGGGACCCAGGGGGACAGGTGAGTTGTCCCTCTCCGGTTGGATGATGCATTGTTCATCAGCATCATTCAACCGGAGGGGGACAGCTCACATAATAAAAATTCAAAATGGAGCAAAAACTGTACCAAATCTTCCTCCAACCGGACTGCAAATTCAGCGCCATTTTGATGATGTGCTACAGTGTTGCGCCATATTTGGCGCAGCACTGTAGATATGGAGATTTTGGTTTTTCCCAAGTTTGCCCTTATAGTGTGTTATAACAAATCAAATATTCCAATTGTATCTCATTTTATAGTTTGTAAATAAAATGAATATTCTTTTTGGTGTAAAATTTGGTGTAATGGTTGAAGATGGAATAGTGATTTGGTGTAAAAACTACACCAACTTGGTGTAAAAACTACACCATTTTGGGTTTTTGGGTTGGAGATGCTCTTAGATGTGGGGCATTTTCATTATTGAGAGACCAAATTGCAAGACTCTTTTAGGATTGAGGGACTAAGATAAAATTATTGAAGACCTGGGACTCTACAGTTTAAAAAAACTGTTATTTATATTTTCTTGTGTATACTTTTAGACAAGGTTTAATTTTGGGTGATTTTTTTTGTTCCCACGCTCTGCAAAGGCAGTGGATTAAAGGGAGACAGAAGAAGTGATTATGGGCCTACATGTCAGTGTATGAGTAGAGAATTGTTTTAGTTGGAAGATAAAAACTACTTACTAGTGGGGTGAAGAAATTTTGTGAAGAGATAAGTCGATGAGCATTCAGAAGCCCTCATTGGTTGCTGAAGATTTCAAGGGGGCCTTTGGTGAATGTTTCCTGCCTCTCTCTTCTTCTGTTAATCTTTTTAATTATATTTTTTAAAACAAAATCTGTATTTTTTTTGATTTAAAGTTATTCTTTGGGGTCCACATCATGATTTAGTTTCTCTTTTCTTCTGTTAATCTTTTCAACTAAATTTTTTAAACAAAATCTGTATTTTTTTAATTTAAAATTATTCTTTGTGATCGACATCATGATTTAATTTCTATCAATTCCAATTAATGAAATTCACAGGGCGTTTATCTGCAACAGGTAATTTCATACTGAGTAAAATTCTTCGACATTTATAAAAAAGCTATATCCAGACCACCACTCCAACTTATTTGGGAAATAAATGAGAGTTATGGAAGGGAGGAAAACAAAAGAAAAAAAGATAAAACCTGAGTCGTTTCTTAGATCAGATGCAGTAAAGAAGTCAATACGGTTGCTTGTAATTATATCTCATATTTGAAATCCTGAAGTTAAATGTCTAGCTTTAGTTTGCAGAACCTCAAACCGCCGTTTTTTCAGCACAACTATCATCAACAACTCTGCTAAAAAAAACTTTCCAGCACAACTATCATCAACAAGACAACAACTCTGCTCAAGAAGAAACTATCATCGACAACCAAACATGTAAAATATTGCAAGTATAAACTGTACTTACAATAGAAAAAGGAATACCATCCACATATTCGCATACACAACAACAAAGAAAAAAAAGAAAAAAAGAAAAAAAAATCCCAGGAGATGCAATAATATGTGTCATTTCCTCCAAAAGATGAAAAAAGTACCAAAATATTTACAAAAATTATCTTGAAACAATAAATGAATGAGTTTGATGTCTACACAGATAGATAAGCTAGATTACTATATAACCTGTACAGACCTAGATGAATGATAATTTACAGGTCTACATAAAAAAGAATTGGTGCTCAGATTTGCTATCGAGTATTCCTCACTCCTCAAGTTATTTATGACTACCGTCACTAATATCTGCAAAATAGTGATCTCCTACAATTCAGCAAAACCCTCCATTGTTATCAATGTTTCTGGAAGTCGGAGTAAAGTTATTCAGCAGAAGGCCAGGTTCTAAGGCTCCCGTTTGGTATAGCTATGGCTTTCTCCAGAGTACAACTTCCCCGATAGTTCTTGAATGGTAGCAGAAGCTTCCTTCGAAAAAGAAAAATCACAAATATAAGATTGGACTGTAAAATTTATTACCAGTAATAAGAAATAAGATTATTATATATCAGTACTAAGACAGAAAATAAAGTTCTTTCACCTTGAGTTTATTCCTCAACTTCTCCTCATCCATTTCTCGACGAGATCTTTCTTCTTCGAATATGCTAATTAGAGCTTCTTGTTCATTATTTAGCACTTGCACCTGTTCTTCCAAAGCTCTAACCTGTTAAAACAACATTTTTATTAGAAGGAGAAAATACAAATGAGTTTATCGAACATGATCCATGAATCTCTAACTCGTTGAACAAGGCTGTTTAAACCAAGTTCTTTTCTTTTAATTAGAAAACCTCCACATCAATAGGATTCAATATCATCCTAAAATCCTGAAGACAAGCTCTATAAATGTTGCATTCAACACATATGGATTCATTGAATTACTAATTGAACATACAAAAATGTAAAAATAGCAAACAAATATGGTCAAATCAAACTAGTAAAAAAATGATCAAACTAGACGAAGCAATCTAGACGGAAAAAAATTTCGTCTAGGTTGAGTCAAACTAGACGGAAACAATTCCGTCTAGTGTGTTCCGTCTAGTTTGGGGTATTAGGGGGGGTGATGGGAGAGAGAGATGAGAGAGGAGG